CAGTCAATCAGCAGTCTGCCCACCAAATTCCCTTTAAAAATGCTAGCCTCGGGCCAGGCACGGTGGCTCAAGTCTGTAATCCCAGCACTTTGGGAGCCCAGGGCAAGAGGACTGCCTGAGTTCAGGGGTCCCAGAAAGGACTGCCTGAGTTCAGGGGTCCCAGATGGCAACTTGGTGAGACCTCGTCTCTACAACAAATCAAAAATTAAGCCGGACATGGTAACACGCACCTGTAGTTCCAGTTTCTTGGAAAGCTGAGGTGGAAGGATCGCCTGAGCCCAGCAGGTGCACTCCAGCCTGGGCAACAGAGTGAGACTCCGACTCAGGAAAAAAAAAATGTTAGCCTCCTGGCCAGGTGCAGTGGCTCATGCCTATAATTCTAGCGCTTTGGTAGGCTGAAGTGTGAGAATTACTTGAGTCTAGGGGTTCAAGACCAGCCTGGCAACATAGTGAGACCTCATCTCTACAAAAAATAAAAATAAAAATAATTAGTCAGGCATGGTGGTGTGTGCCTGTAGTCCCAGCTTCACAGAAGGCTGAGGTGGGAGGACTGCTTGAGCCCAGGAGGAACACTAGCCTCTAAATTTCTGGGGAGGTAGATTTGAGAAATACCTCCCATCTTCCTCATCCAGCTGCTTTGTGGTATTAAACTCTTTCTCTACTATAACGGCTGCTTCAGTCTTGATGTTTCCAGGCAGCGGGCATAAGAACCCAGTCAGGCAGTAACATCAGCAGTACCCAAGCAAGTTGGGTTAACATGCAATTTTCTTCAGAAAATTAATGTTTTGAAGCAGTCAGACACAAGCTTTCTCATAGTTAAAGAGGAAGCCTTAGTAATAAAAGAAGATCTTAAGGGAAAAAGCTGCAAACCTACACAAGTGTCTTCTTTTGGATCCAGAGCACCTGGTTTAGTGGTGTTGACCAAAAAAAAAAAAAAATCCAAACTCTGTAAAATATTGATGTTTATTCTGAACCAATAAGAATGGCCATGGCCTGGGGTTCAGTCTCAAGAAGTTCTGAGAATGTATGCCCGAGATGGTCAGTTTCCTGCTTGGTTTTATACATTTTAAGGAGACAGAAGGCAAAGACATAAATCAATACATATAAAGTATAGATAGGTTCAGCTGGAAATGCGGAACATCTCGTTGGGGCTTATAGGTCATAGGTGGATTCAAATATTTTCTGATTTAGCGATTGGTTGCAAGAGTTAAGCTTTGTCTAAAGAGTCTGAAGTTAGTAGAAAGAAATGCTTGGGTTAACATAAGGGGATCAATGTAAGTCAAAGTCCTTGTTATGTGGAGGAAGCCCCTGAGTAGCAGGCTTCAGATAGAATAGGTGGTAAATGTCTCTTTTTGAACTTTAAATGTTCAAGATTAAATTAAATCTCTCCTAGATCTCAGAAAGACCTAGGAAGAGAAAGAGAGGCTCCACAGATGAAAATTTTCCTCACAAGAAGCTTTGTAAGACCATTTCAAAATATGTCCAAGTAATATATATTTTGAGGGAAAATAGTTTTATTCCCATCAGGGCCTGCTGTCATGTGATGCTTTGCTGGAGTCAGATTGGAATTTGGTATTCTGTTGCCAGAATCTGTTCTGTCAATCTTTTGCTCTCTATTTTAATGTCAATGCTAATCAGTTGTGTCTAAATTCCAAAAGGGAGGGGCTATATACCAAGGCACGTCCAAGCTCCTTTCACGTCATGGCCTGAAATTTTGTTTTTCAAGTTTCCCTTGGCCCAGCGAAGGTCCATTCAGTCAGTTGGGAGGCTTAGGATTTTATTTTTGGTTAACAGTGGCTTCAAAGACCACCAAGCCTGCCACAATGTTATGCTTCATGGCAAAGCTATGAATGCGGATAAAGAAACTGCAAAGATATTTCTCCCATATTAAAATAACAGACTCATGAAGGTGACTACACTTTGGATCACATTTTGAATTTCAATTAAAACAGTCACCATCAAAAGCTAAAATAATATCAAATATCTCCAGACCGGTATTGCTAAGGAGGAAGCACAAGCCCCACGCTTTAAGTGTTGCTGAGAGCAAATGCTCATGAAAATTAACTATGCTAGTGTTATCCAGCGTGATGCCTACGTGACATGGCTGAATTTCTACCCCAACCTAACTCTGGCTATTTCTAAGAAACAGAAAGTCCTGTGGACAGAAATTCCCCTTCTGACCTGACCAGCCAAACCAGTGAGATCCAAGATAGCAGCTCATGTGACCTCCGAAGAACCTCTAACCTTGTTATGATGTGCTTTCCATACTAAATGGCACACCCTGGGTAACCATGACAGGAACCATCAAACCAATAAAGGAGAGAGGGTGTGATTTGAATTCTGAGAAATCTCTGTCCATTCCCAGAAAAAACATAAATATTTCTACCCTTGCTGTTAATGTCCAATTTCTTCATTTAAAAAAAAAAAAACCCTACTTTTTTTTTTTGAGTTGGAGTCTCACTCGGTCACCCAGACTGGAGTGCAGTGGCCGCTCCAGGCCACCGCAGCCTTGACCTGCTGGGCTCCAGCGATCCTTTCACCTCAGCCTTCCTAGTAGCCAGAATTACAGGCATGCGCTACCATGCCTGGCTGATTTTTTGATTTATTGTAGAGAGGAGGTCTCGCCTGCCCAGGTGGGTCCCGAACCCACGGGCTCAGGCAATCCACTCACCTCAGCCTCCCAAAGGCGCGGGATCACAGGCTGAGCCACTGAGCCTGGCTAAAACCCTACATTTTTAACGCCCTCACCTACCGCACAGTGAGAAGTTGATTTACGAATCAAGTTCCCACTTCTCCATTTTATGGCCACAGAATTAAAGCCTGCCTTGCTTGATCCCTACTTTTGGTTTATTATATTGGCTTCGTGACACCTGACAGGTAAGAACACCATTGTGATGGAGGGCAAAACCAACTTTGTCAGTAATACTAGTATTTCTATTACGATCATTATTGGTTTTGTAGTGCTCTGTATATAGAGTTGCAAATGTTTTGAGCAATCTGTCCCTAACTCTGTTTCCCATAATGTCTTGTTATTTTTAGTATACCATTTTGAAGAACTCCAGATTTTTCTTTTCTTTTCTTTTCTTTTCTTTTCTTTTTTTTTGAGTTGGAGTCTCACTCTGTCACCCAGACTGGAGTGCAGTGGCTGCTCCCGGCCACCGCAGCCTCGACCTGCTGGGCTCCGGTGATCCTTCGTCTCAGCCTTCCAAGTAGCTGGAACTACAGGCGCATGCTACCACGCCCGGCTAATTTTTTGATTTATTGTAGAGATGAGGTCTCGCCAAGTTGCCCAGGCGGGTCTCGAACCCGCGGGCTCAGGCAATCCACTCACCTCAGCCTCCCAAAGCGTGGGATTACAGGCTGAGCCACTGAGCCCGGCTCAGATTTTTCAAGAACGCATATATCAGGTTATAGCAGAAACGTCTGTACTCAGAATGAACCTGGACATCTCTTTTCCAACAAGCATTTTTGGTATGTCCTGACTTTCCCTGTTAGGTAGTTAGGAGACCTGTTAACCATTTCTCTCTGAGAGTGTAACAACTTCCCCAGGAGCGTGAGGGGCAGGTCTCTGGAATGGAGTTTGTGCATGGAAGCCCTTCATAGTTCCTCTTCTCTCCTCCCTCTAGACCCCCAAGACCATTCGGGCCAAGTTAAAAGCCCCAGAATTTTGTGCCTCTCACAAGCTTGCAGATCTTGAGCAAGTCACTGAACCTCTTCAGGACTCAGTTTCCTCATTCTTTATGATGATGCAAAAACTCCAAGTTCAGCTTGAAGAGGTTGATTCTGAACTAACTATAAGTAACCAGACCCAGGACACAGCCTACAGAGCATGTATCTAGGATGATTAAATTGCAGTTTGGTTATATACAGTTCAGAGGCAGAAATCACAAAAATCATAAATCAGAACACATGAGATTTTCATTGGTTATGCCAAGAACGAGGTACAATTCCAAGTGGGGGCTTGCAGGTTATAGGTGGATTCAAGGATTTCTTGACAGCGATTTGTAGTTCCTACCTAAGGTAGAAATCAGTAGAGGACAAGATGCCTGGAGTCTGTGAGTCCACAAGAGATAGCTAGGCAGGGTCATAAAATAGGCTGATTTCCTTCCTTATCTGCTGTGTGATGTTATCCCAGAGTCAGGTTGGAATACAAAAGTTCAGTATATTGGGTAATAGGACAATAAAACCCCATCTGGTGAGTCTTTATCAGGAGTAACTCCCCAAGTCTCTTAGTTAGGAATGTGGATAAAAGAATAAAGGTCAGCGTTTCGTCTTCATTTAGATGGGAGAGTAGTGTTTTGAAATCGTGTGGTGGTTGTTTTTAAACTGCCTTTGATTCTTGCTTTGCCATTTATAGTTCTGTAACCCTGAAGAAGTGACTTCACTTTTCCCTGAGTCATCGTAAAATGGGGCTCTTTGAGAAGACTTAACGATACCATGCGTGCAAAGCACTTACCACAAGATGCACATTAAGCTCCCCAAAACTGAAATTCATATTTGGGGATGGGAAATTCTCGACAGCACGATTCTGGCTGTGGAGCCGAGGAACCCAGAGCTGGTGGGGACAGCAGACGTGGCTGTGACATCCCCCGGGACAGCAAACACATTCTCCCAGCCCAGTCTTCCCCGCAGATTGGCTCGGCCCCCAGAGTGCTCGAGTGGTTTGGGGTCGCCTCCCGCAGCCCCGGTCCCGAGGGCGGACTACATTTCCCAGCGTGCACCTCGGGCCGGGCCCTGGGGGCATCTGCCGCGGGGACCCGGTCCAGGCTGCGTTCGCGGCTCCGGGCAGTGGCTGTCACTCGCGCCGCTCCCGTTTTTCTCCTTGCTGAGCGCGTCGGCCACGGTCGCCCCCACCCCGGGCCGCGGCCCCCGCAGGGACCGTGAAGAGCGCGTTCCTCCTCCG